TGCCAGGTTGGCCTTGCAGAGGCCCCGGGAAAACATAGATATCCTCGAGTCGCCGAGCGTCGAAAAGTACCCTAATGGAGTGAGAGCGTTCAGATTCAGTTTCACGGCTGTTGAGTCCCGTGTAGAAAAGTCCCGTGAAGCAGACTTTGCTGTGCAAGTCGTGGTGCCCAAAGGCGCCACTGTCCTAGACGCAGCATGAGGCTTTTCTTCAACAGTCTACTACCCAGGGGTTGGCCAAATACGAAGCGGCGTTGCAGGCCGGCGTCTCCAAGTCAGAGTTCCAAAACATTGTAAACAGTGTACTCCGGAATTTGACTGAAGACTACGCCACACAGGTTGGCCTTGAAGCTCCTTTCAAAAACCAGTGGACCCACATGTGGCCAAAGAGAAGTGCAAAACCTTTTACGCCACGATGATCGACCGCATCCACAACTCTTATGCAAAGAGGAAGGAGGATTTAGAAAAGGAGCGAGGGAAGAACAACAACCAGACCAGGGTAGTTCTGTTGAACAGTAAGCCTGAGGAGTTGTTTGCTGCAGTTGTGGCTCAACACGTGGTCGAACAAATTGAGCAAGAACGACGTCCCGCCCATGATGTGAACGCGGATCGTGCCGAAGCGGCCGAAACCATCAAAGATGTAGTTTCTGCTGTTATTTCGTCCCGTAAGCCACGGAAGCCTACGAAGCCAAAAACGCCACGTCCCCGCAGGGAGCTCTGGGGAAGGAGCGAGTTACTCGCAGGCCATGGGCGCCTTACCGCGGCAATCTGCCGATTCAGGACGCCTCCCGGATGTGGGCTTGGTCGCAGAAGACCTGGCGAGACCGTCGGAAAAAAAAGGCAAAGATGCCACGGGCAAAAATGGGCCAGGCCGTGGGAGAGGCGGCGAAAGCAAAGGAAAATGGAAACGAACGAACCCTGGCAGCAAAAGCAAGACAGACAAGGAATAATATACAAAAGTTGGAAAACGTGGGCCATGGAGCAAAGGTGCAGCAAAACACATTGAAGGAAAAGAAGGAGACAAGAACACCGGAGGGGCAACTGGCTAGAAAAGCATGATGCGAGGGACATTGCGCCATTCATACATCGACTGCAGTGACGTTGTTGTTTGCCAGGTTTGAAGGACAGGCGTGTTTTCAAATATCAAATCAAGAAATGGGTTGTCCCGCAGCGCACTGCAAACGCGCGGGCAGGCTTCCGTTTCTGGCCCACGTGTTCGCAACAAGAGCTTCTGTGTGCATGTATGTTCTTGCAGAGAATAACCCAGCACACGCACAGAAGGGGCAACGCGTTTCGCCTTGTCCGCTGGGCTTTTCGTTTGCTGTGCCAGATGAACGTTGCACCGATGAGGGATGCCATGGGCATGGGCTACACGCTGGTCACTTGCGACGAAGATGCGCGAATAGACGCGCACTCTCTCGACCGCGTGGATGATGGGGAGCTCCCTGGCGGTTGGCATAACCACGACGCCGCGGTCAAGTTGCATATCGCACTGGCACGCGATATCCAGAAAGAGGAAAAGGCACCCAATGCTACAAGCAGTGTGCGCTCATCGTTCACGTCAAGGGGCTCGCCTGAGTGTTGCTCGTTGAAGATGCGCAAGACGCATGAGCAACCCGTCGTTTTCAGAGACGTCCATAGCGCAGGGAGTCATCTATCCAGAGGTGTTGCTGCTTGGCTTGCGATCGAACTCAAGCAAAAGGTTGCTGGTTTGAGCCATGAGGTGACTGACAGCAAAGTGGCCGCTTGTCGTCTGCTGCGCCGCTCGCCTCTGACATCCCAGAGGCCCCTCGCGCTCGATACAAATTGACTTCTTCGCGGGCGGCAGCGTGCGCGAGTTTGTCGACGACGTCGTCCATTCTATCAGTAGGGTTCTCAGACTTCTCGCGGAGCGCGCGCTGCATCTCCCCCCTGCCAATCAGCGCGTTGCACCGCGCCACTTCCCAGGCAAGGTTTGGCAGGTCATGGGGGTGGGGGCGGGCGTGGGATTATCGCACAGCGGTGATCTATCAGATTTGGCCCTCGCCAGTCGGACGGAAAATAATGCCCTTGAGAGCGGTCGTGCGCGCGGCGTCTGTCCGTGCCCCAGGTTCCCCGACGACGTTCTGCTTGGTCATGGCGGCCTCTCCAAAGCGCATGTTTTCGACCAGTCCATGAAGCCCCGTGCTGGGCGCTTCAAGCTAGTGGTGCCTAGCGGGGGCGCTTCCACATAGAGCGGCTCGAACTCGCAGCTTTCAGACGCAGCGGTCGCATTGCAATTGGGCCTAGGTCCAAACAGATGTCTTTGATCGCCCCGCTCTCGGCGCCTAGCCCCCACCCCATGCGCGCGCGTTTCTTGGCCTCGCGCGCGAGATTATTCGAGGAAGCGGCTCGCGTAGTATATGACAGGCTTTAGTTATCTTACATTGAGCGGCAATCGAAGTGATTATTTGGCCCCGCCGAGTCTTCGCGAGTAGCTCCTGCTGCCCGCGGTCGCGGCACTCGCTCAGAGGTCCGGCTCGAG